GTGGGGCCGGCGGTGAAGGAAGAGGGAATGGGAAAATAACTTGCAGAGGAATTGGGAAGGGTAATTTAGGAATGAATTTCTTGGGCAGTGGGAAGAAGGGGTTGGTTGCACTTATGTTCCACTTTAAGGGCTTGAGGTTATGATTTTTGGGCTGGGGAGGAGGATGCATGGCCCAACTTTTTTGGGTTCCTCCAACCAATTTCCCCTTATTTTTAAGTTTAGATCTGCATAAAATTGTGCTTTTGGTATTCTAATCATGTCTCCCTGTTTGTAAACTAATATGAAACTTGCTGTGTTTAAATGTAGACTTGTGTTATTAACTCCAAACCGTGACTGCAAACGATGGAGACAAATATTGGCAATGACTTCCATTAGGATCATAACCGCTACAGGAATAAGCAAACACGCAACTGACAATATTTACATCATTGAGGTCAAACTTCATCTGTTTAATTACTAGTTCTACCCATCATCAGAAACGTTTTTTTTTTCCCCTTAAGAGATTGTTTTGTTGGTCAAATTGCTGTTTTATGCCACTTTCTCTGCTTTATTAAAGAACGCTAAAATCTTTCTTGCTAGCGATTTTCACATATTAAAATCTGAGGGGTGCTTTTGAAATCTGCTTTAGATGCGTGGCTGCGGCGTGATCATTCTAAAATTCCTTTTAACATACTGAAACATCCAAGTAGTCGTGAGTTTTTAGACTGTCCTTTTACACTATATAACGATATTGATAGTAGTGAAATATTTCATAATTGTTCGTAAACAAGGATATGAGAAGAACACAAAATATTACACGCTTCAGTATGCCAAAGTTTATTATTCTTGTTCCTAAACAAGCATGAACGAACATGACAGAGACATAGCTTGCATAAGAACAAATTAAACATACTTGCAATCCCCATAACCTGCAAAAAACAATTTAAACTAATCACATAATCATCGAACACATGCATAAAATTTAATTCACAAGGCAAAATGACATAAAAAGTACCCACTTGGGTCAGTAACAACAGTGATGCCAGAGAAACTGAAGTAACAATTCCAAGGGTTCATCCCCTTTGACTGATAGTAAAGATTCATGGCAACCGAAGCATGAGAAATATTAGTTTCAGGGGAAAAGCAAGCTCCGCCCTTTTGAATAATACTGCAATCAACAGCAGAGCAAGCATACTGAATGTTATTGTATAGAGCCACTTCATCAGTTGAAGGCTTTGCAATGCACCAAGTTTTCTGTAATTATATCAACAACGTGACATGAAAGATTAATTCAGTGTACATATTTCAAAAATCATGTTTTGGTTAAGGGGTTTTTACATACCTGGCAATTATTCTGCTCAACATTTCCTGCGACAAAAAATTAAATAAAGAAAGAATAGTATTAGCTAATTTTATAGTAGGAGAAACAAAGCAAGGTTAGTAAATACTCACCGTGACCGAGAGAGAGGAGAACAAGTAGGTAAAGAAAGACGAGAGAAAGAGATGACGAGGTCATTGCTTTTAACTGAAGGGGAACGAGCTTTTGGAGTTTGGAATGAGAGAGAGAGAGAGAGAGAGAGAGAGGGTCTCATCTTATTAATATTTGACACTGTGGCTATTGAGCTTCATTTTAAGAAAACGGTTTAAACACAATTATGGCGCCTCTCAGGCTTCCTAAAATCTACAGAAGCAGGGAAAGAAGAAAGAACCAGGGTTTAATAAGGTCGATTCGGTTAGAGGTTTGGGTCTAGCATTCTTCACACCCAGATCCGACCTTGTGACTTCTAACATATTTCATTAATTTTTGGGTTTTATTATGAGCTAATGAAAACTTCGGTGAATATGTAGACAAATTCCTGTCTACAGAATATGCCCATTTAGAGAGGGAGAAGCATAAAAAGTAGGGAAAAAAAACATCAGATGTTAATTGATATTGTTTGTACATATTTAATGTTTTGTTTAAGGATATGGATCTTCTTCAATTAGGTATCGTTTGGCAAAAGGTTAAGTGAGGAGTTAAGAAGACTTAACCACTTCTTAACCCGCCAAACACAAAAAAAAATCTATGCAATGGTTAAAAGTGAGTTAACCATTCATATTTTACCAAACATAAAAAATATAGAAAGGTTAAACTAACCCCTCTAGAGGGATTAAAATGAGTTAACCCATCAAAATAATGGGTTTACTAATACTCTTATTTAGAAGGATTAAAAATTAACCATTCTAATTATAAAGAAAATAGTCAAAATCATTGTTACTCCCAAACGCTAAAACTGATCACAAAGGCTAAAATAAAACTAATTTAACGGGTTAATAATTTAGTCCTTCAGATTATCGTATGGACTAAATACATTAATTTACCCAAATCCTTGCCATCTATTCCTTGTTTACAATGAGTTTTCAATTGTTAGCATTGATTTTTATCCTGCTGATTTCATATATTTGCTTACACTGAGATAAAATTGGTGTTGAGAGTTTCCCTTCTTTCTGATATGATTTCTTGTAGAGTACCAAATAAATTATTCTTTTCACCAATTTAAATCCTTTAATAATCAAATAATTTTGCAATCCTTCGATAAACATAACAGAACTTCAGTCACACAAGCCAGAAAAAGCACGTCCTCTTTCATAATGGATAATAGTGGATATATACAGCTCCATCACAAGACCCCAAAAGAAAAAACATGGAAGAAGCTTATTCAGCATAAAACAACCATCTGACGAAACATATTAAGAATAGATCCAATATCACTGAAGCTCCCACTGATCAATAGCTCATATGAGTATAGGAGCAAGTGATTAAGTCTGTGGTAGGAGCATTGGACTAGATGAACTTTTTTCGGAGAACTCCCAGTATATCAGGAATGAGATTGCGGGAAAAGCTTAGGGCCTATCAACTGATTGTTCTCAGGAAGAATGATCTTGGCCCTTCCACCGACGCCTTCACCACTAAAGTTGCCTAAGCTCTGATGGTCGAAGCATGCGATCCGCATGATCCCCATAAGAGAGAGTTCTCCATCCACAACATGGTTCAATCCCCCAGTACTCCCAAAGCTCCTTCAAGAAAGTCACCATGGTTTGTCATTTTTAGGGAGTACAATACCGGTTGGTGGATTCCCTCCCCAAGAGAGATTCCACCACAAAAGGTACCAGGTAGCTTCTGGTCGTGCCCTCAACCCTCACATGGAAAACGCCATTCGACATAATTCATGGCGAAAGGGCAATTTCTTTTGCCAAAAGTCGACGTGCCAACCATCCGCCTTCAAAGCCTTACTGGAGATTCAAACTCAAAAGGAACCTTGGCTGATGAGATGACAAATAGAGTTTCGACTCATCTTCGTCATACCAACAAGTTGTCTACTAAGAGAACAAGAAAAATCCACCTAAAAGAGGTTCTGGACTGGCGGTCTCACCCCCTACAAAATTGCCTTTGAAGCAGTTTTCAAAGCAAGATCATAAGTGGTTCAACCCCTTTTTTGAGCATCAAATGCCTGCAAAGGATATTGTTTATGGTAGTGCAAAATACAAAACTGATAAAATATTATTCAAATATGAATTAACTCTGATATTGCAAGGATCAAGACTTCATTATGGCCAAAGACTTAGGCGTCATATAAAACCTAGGCACCTCAATCAAGCCCTTGGCTCGTTATCTAGTTAAGCCCAAGGCACCACAGATGGTCAGATCCTTATAGTGTGACTCGACCATCATGCTGAATATTAAGACATTTGTACCTCTTCAGGGAAACCCTAGGCACAACGACTCCTTAGCCGAATATCAAGCCATTGGTTCTTTATCAAGATAAGCCCAAGGCACAACATATGATTAATTCCTATGGCTCTCATCGATCATCATTGACAAGTTCTTGGTACCTTATCAGGAATAAACCCAAGGAACAAACCTTTGGCCGACTCCCACAGTCATCTCTCGGCCTTAGGGGAAGGAAAGACCTAGTCGACTCTCTCGAGCCTAGGCACTCGACTCCTCAGTCGAATATCAAGCCCATGGATCTTTATCAAGATAAACCCAATGCACAACGACTCTTCAGTCGAATATCAAGACCTTGGTACCTCTTCAGGGTAAACCCAAGGCACAATGACTCCTCAGTCGAATATTAAGCCCTTGGCTCTTTATCAAGATAAACCTAAGGTACAACGACTCCTTAGTCGAACATCAAGCCCTTGGCTCTTTATCAAGGTAAGCCCAAAGCATTACATATGATCGATTCCTCCGGTTCCCATCAATCATCATAGACAAGTCATTGGTACCTTATCAGGAATAAACCTAAGGCACAACCCTTTGGCCGAATCCTACAGTCATCTCTCGGCCTTAAGGGAAGGAAAGACCTAGTCGACTCTCTCGAACCTAGGTGCTCGACTCCTCAGTCAAATATCAAGCCCTTGGCTCTTTATCAAGATAAGCCCAAGGCACAACGACTCCTCAGTTAAATATCAAGCCCTTGACTCGTATCAAGATAAGCCCAAGGCACAATGACTCCTCAATCGAATATCAAAACCTTAGTACCTCTTAAGGGTAAACCTAAGGCATAACGACTCCTCAGTCGAGTAAACAAGCCCTTGGCCCTTTACCAAGGTAAGCCCAAGGCACAACCCTATGGTCGAATCCCGCAGTCACTACTTGACCTTACGGGGATTATGAAGACCTAAGCATCCAACATCAGAGTTGTCATTCTGCCAAAAAGGTATTCATATACCTAAGGTACAAATATTAAGCATATGTCTAATAACTTAAGCAATCGTCTGTCAAGTTATGGTCAATTAAACGCTTAGCCAAAATAAGGTATCAAGTGAACTAGTTGTCATAAGTCCCCAGTACGGGTCGACACATTATAACTAACTCACGTTAGCCAACATCTCAGATGAGAAAAAAGCTACAAAGCTAAAAGAATACAAACAATGAAGACAAGCCCAAGAATAGAGATAAAATTTAATTTTCATTCAATAAGAGTAAACTTCGTTACAAACTTCTCTACAAAAAAAAGAGAAGAATAAAAAAAGTGAAAGAAACATGCAGGTCGTCAAAGCTCTTGACTAGGCTCGGGAGTCGGACTTGGTGAACTCCTGGTGGCAGCAAGGGTAGAAGATTCCCCAGGGGGCCCTAGTAACAAGCTCGACCTCATCGACATTCATTGATAAATCTAACTCGCCTCTAATTTTCTCGACATCCTTCAACAAATCAAGACAACAAGAGACGCATGTAGGATAGAAGCGATCTGGAGTCGGATAAGAGTCGTGAGGCACCAAGAAGGTGAAGTAATCAACCCCAGATTTACAAGCTAAGGCTACTTCAGCCTTCCCTGTAGGGTCGTGACATTAGTCGTTGACCACTTTCTTTCTATGTTGCTACGAATACAGATAAGCGAGTCGGTCCTCTAGTTTCTCGACAAAGACCATGGATGTCTGAAGCTTTGATTGCGGCTCTTCAAAGTCTCTCCTCGTCTTTTCAAGAGATAGGTGACTTGTTCGAGCCTCTGCCTCAGCTGTCGTCTTACGACGCTTCTCAGACTCGCCCTCCGCCTGTAGCTGAACCATCTCCCTTTGAAGGTCCTCGATGGTCCCCATCTGCTTGGAGAACTGGATCCGAAAGCTCTTGAAGAGCTCTTCCTTCTCATCCAGACTTCGGTGCCAAGCGCCTTCTTTATGAGCCAACTCAGTCTCTAAGGCGCTGACCTTCTCTCTCGCCTCCTCCTTAGCCGTCTTCTCCTTCACTATCTCCAATAGCCATCTTTGTGAAGCATCATGCATGTGCTTAAGTCGCTCATACAGTTCTTGCTCTACCAATGCGCCTCAGACTAAATAAGCCTTTAGAGCTAGATGCAAGCCTTGGCATCCTCTTCAAGACATTATCGTCTTTGGGAAGAGAGAATTGATGGACGGTCGTGATTGGAGCTGAGAGAGATCCCAGAATGGAAGTCTCTTTATCGAGATGTGCAGGCGGGATGAACTTGTCTCCAGTAGAGAGCTCTTTCCTTGGCAAGCAAGGGCCTAGCGGCACTCCTGCTAGCATCGCTTTGGTTCTCTCCCAGTCTTGGGAGTCTACCTTCAAAATCCAGTGAGGAAAAGGCCAACTACCCTCCTCCCTTTCCCCGAACTAATAGTCCCCGACAGTCTCTTCTGCCTGAGGCACGGGGAGGGGTGTGGTTTCTTCAGCCATTTCCCTCACAAACTCGACCAGCTTTTTGCCTGGCCTGTGAGTTAATGCCGACTCAGAATCCAGGTCAACGACTTCGATGCCAGCCATAGCATCCGTGGGTTTAGACGATCCCGTCACCTCCTTAGTCGCCAGAGGAATAAGGAAATCTCTAGTAATGACCTTATCCCCTTCACTGGCTTGAATACCCGACCAACTTTGGGCTCCTCAGTGACTTGTGTTGCAATCGGTTGCTGGGCGCATCTATTCGCCAGTCTCTTAGTATTTTTCCTTTTTACCAACTGGATAGCCGGTTCTCCTACCCGAGACTTCAAGTCAGATGTCTCTTGAGAGTTCAGATATCCCCTCAACCTCTTTTGGGGCCTAGCAGCGGACGACTCCTCCCCCTTAGATCTTGCTTCCTGACTTCTAGCAAGAGGGAGCGCCAACATGTTCGCCCTAGTTTGATCAGCCTCAATAGGCAAGACAGATGAAATGAGCGCCACTCGAAGTTACGCTGAGTCGAAGAGGTTGCTCCTCTCTCTAGATCCATTGTAAGATTGGATCTTCCCAAGTTGTTGTCTTTCCTCAACATCAAGAGGACCGGGTTTCAACACATCTTTGTTGATCTTGGGCCAATCCGAGCAAGAAAGAATCTCTTCAACTCCTTTAACCCATAAGTAATGTCCTTTCTAGTCCCTATTGGACTCTGGAGCATCGGAGACAAACTTGAAATTGCTTGTATAGTAAAAGAAGAGAAATGCGGATCCTTTTTGGTTGACTTAATGCTAACCAAGTGGCCGAACAAATTCAGGGTGGACAGAACACCTACTTGGAAGCAAATGACTATGAAAGCCACCAGAATTCCCACTACGTTCGGATAGAACTGGAAAGGGGAGACCCCTAGAGCAGGTGCACCTCCTTGATAAAAGGGTGCAAGGGCAACCGTAAGCCATACTCCAAATGGGCTAAGTATAGCGGCACTCGACCCCATGGTAGTACACTAGCTCGCTCATCTCTGGCACCGCCAAAGTAAGAGTTTGAGGGATATTGTATTCATCATATAACCCCACCGGGTTATCCATATGGACCTTCGAGTGGATAAGGAAAAGAGCAGCAAGGCTGTCCTCGCTACGACCAAAGTTTGAAGTTTGGGAAGCCATGGAAGATTTCTTCTTAGAAAAAGCTTGGAGGAATTGGGAATTTTTCAGAGCAAAGGTTCGTAAAAGAATTATCTTATCATTGAAAATCTATTTATAAGCTTTTAAGGAAGAGTTTAGAGGCATTTTCAAAAGACACAGTGATTTTCGAAGCAACCAAACCAGATCCACATCGGAATCTGAAGCGGTTTACTCGAAACACAAAGCACCACCCTTATTTAGAGCCCCACGTCCCAATATTTGAAAAGTGAAAGATCCTCCCTTTTATCCATGACGCTTCATCTCCTAAAAAGACGGTTCAGATCTTTTGATGACGTCAACCACGAATAACAGAGTTATCAATGGGTGTCCAATCAGGACAAGCCACATGTCCAAGATCGAGACCTCTCAGTTTCTCATCCTCAGCAGGCCTGAATTGATCAAAGCATATCTTATTTTTTTTCGGAGTCAACTAAAAGCTAACTCTGAATAAAAGGGATCAACTGTTATGATGTTCACTCACCCAAGATACAATATTTTCTATGTAATACAATAAGAGTCCTAGTCAACTCCCAAGAGTTCTAGGCAGTCAACTCCTAAGTCAACTAATAAGCCCTTGGCTCTTTATCAAGGTAAGCCCAAGGCACCATATATGGTCGATTCCTCCAGTACAACTCGACTATCATGGCAGATTACAAGAGCTTGGTATCTTATCAAGGTATAAACCCAAGGCACAATTACGGAGACATTGGCCCCATCGACTCATCAAGCCGACACCCTAGTGTCGACACAAGAGGTGATATTAGCTGATACGAGAGATCCTGACATTCCAAACGAGTCGACATTTTTATATCGACTCGAAAGACGGTTATTAAGTTGAGATAAGACGACGTTTCGTCTAGTCGGACAAACCGACACTCCTAAGTCGACACGAAAGGCGGTGCTGGTCGAGCCTTTTATCAAGGACGACCCTATTTAGGACCACTCGACCACTCACTGGACATTTCTCAGAAACGACTTAAGGGACGTTCCATGCTGTTGACTAAGTTGAGGACTCGACCCCGGCCTCAAGCCTCTCCCTTAGAGCAAATGTCGACATCACAGTCCACCTCGAGCAAGTCTTATTCATATTTTGGCCTAATAAGTCTCCATGACTTGTCAGCTCAATCACTTCCCGAAAAATACGGAGGTACATTCTTCCATAATGAAATGACTTCCCCTCCAATCGCCAGTCGACACCTGTAAAATAAGGGATGACTCAGTATGCCCACGTGCCCTCTGCCACACTTATCGGTCACTTCTCGGATATCACAGAGATGTGATCTCCTATGCTGAGATGACTTCTCTTCCAGTCGCCGGCCGACACTTGTAAAGAGAGGGATGACTCATCTTCCAGCTCACGCTTTGTCACAGCCATTCCGCATGGCCGAAATGATCAATCTGCCATAGACATCCACTATATAGATGGATGCTATTCACCAAGAAGAGGAGAGAACAATCTAAATCTTCCTCCTGACCCAATGATTATCTCTAATGCATATAGCATAAGAACCGATAGTTCTAGACTACACTCAAGCTCATGTTTATCAACTGACTTGATCGTCGGAGGAACCACGGGGGAACCGGTCCCCGCCCTCTCACGAGTTATTTCTGTCTGTGCAGCGCGGACATCAGGCTCTCGTTCAAGAACTAGGCATAAAGCTGGAGAAGGGAACGGACCCTCCATCATCCTTCATCACCCCACAACAATCCTCTTCTGGATTAATAGTCTGTTTGATATCGAGCATCAACATTACATACAATTAATTATAATAATTATTTTATGAATAAAATACAATTTTTATAAAAAAATGCTTAATCAAGTTAAAATATTACTTTCATAAATTTATGTGCTAATTTATGTGTAATTTTTTTATTATAATACATCATAAATTTATTATTATAAAATATATTATTAAAATATTACCTTATTTTGTATTATTATTTATTATAAAAATAATATAAATTTATTATGAGTTAGCACATATATTTTATGAATTAGCACATAAATTTATTATTATAGAAAATAATAATACAACATAAATTATTGTCTAATAAAAGGGATATTTTATGAATTAGGTGTTAAGTTATGTTGTATTATTATTTTTATCTAAATAATTAAAAAATTAAAAGGCTAAAAATTAAAAGCAAAAAGAAAATCAACTGCGCCAAAGCTACAGTGCTGCACCAAATCTGGCGCAGCACTGTAGCAATTATCAAAATAGCGTGAGTTTTATAGTTAGATTGGAGGATAAAATCGCGTCAAATTGGGTTTTCGCGTCAAATAGCCTCTCCGTTGGAGATGCTCTAACTTGCTCGTCTTTCGACCTTTTCCCTCGTTCCTAGTCTCTTTTCTTCTTTTGTTGTTAATATCATTTGATGTTGTGATCATTTTCACATTCATGCTGTATGGACTTGGATGATCATCGAATTGTCTACCCACATAAAAATATTGAGAAATGTCAATCGACCGGAATTTTCTGCATTTGAATCATCCTCACAGGGGAAAGAAGAAAATAGTAACCAGTAATTTGTTATTTGAATCCTCAAATTGTACAGTAACCAACTCCTGTACAGGCAAATGCTTAATTTATGAAGCTTCAATCTCACTTTTTTCAGGTTTATTTCCTCAGCACACCGATAAATTTGTGATAACAAACACGATGCACTTAACTGGAGCGCAGCAGAGAAACAATTGCTTGCTTGCACGAACACAACACTGTCGCAGGAGAGAAACAATTAATTGCTTGCTCGCACAAACATAACACTGACGCAGGAGAGAAACAATTCCTCACTTGCACAAATATACCATTGAAAATAAGCCGAAGGAATAAGAAAAACAAGTCCTCACGAAGAGCATCAAGCAATTGATAAAAGGAATAAGTAGCTAGTAATTCATATTTATGAATCATCAATATTTACAGCGAACAACTCATATACAGGCAAATGCTTGATTTAGGAAGCTTCAATTTCATTTTATATATTCCATTAATAAACTTTTGCAACCAAAACACAATATGCATAACCGTAGCTTTCAACAAAACCTATTTTTCGGGAATGATGGAAACAAGCTGGAAAAGAGAAAATCCTCATACCAAAAAACATCAAACATGGAACAAAACAAAGACAAGGAGAATGGAAACAAGGTTACTCTACAATTAAACATCGATAAGCAATAAATAAACAGTCTCTTATTTATTGCGCAAGTACTTGCTAGCTTGAGAGGCAAGAAGAACTGCTTTAGCATCCGAGCTACTCAACAACCATTCCTTCTCTGCTCTTCTTCTATGTTGCCTTGCATTCTTCGCTCTTTTAGGAGCTAACCGAGCATCTCTCTCCAAGAAAGCAAGCCTAAATTTCTCTGCCATAGAAATTTCAGGAGCAGCAACAGTTGATGCAAATACAGATGAAACCGTTGCTCTTCGAGCGGCACCAGAGACTGCCCAAGTTTTAGGATCGATGTCTTCCACTATTGAGTGGTCGAGGGGAATAGAGGCCAATGCCTCAGTAGGAACTTGGAGACCTCGGAAGCCAATGGGTGATGCTTTGGGGTTGACTATTATTCGGGGGCATTCAGTGGCTAACGTCGAACTTGAGTTTTCGTCTATCTTTGGCTGCATAAAGAGAAAGGGAAAAGCAAGATTTGTTATATATTCACGGTGGTTTTGATGAAATCCATTCATGCATGTTCATTTTTCACAGGTAGAACTAAATATAAGAAAAGAAGTTTTTTTTAAGGCAGATGATGTAGAACATCGAACAAGCAATGGCGATCAGACAACTATTGTGGGCTTAACTTTAAAAGAGATCTTAGTGGACAGAGGGACCAGTGAATAAATTCTCCTAACAACACCACTTCAAAGAACTCAAGACAACATCATCAAGTAAGTCACCCAAACTGAAAACACAAAAGAGAAATTAACCAATATCTAAAATGCACTCCTTTGAGAAGTGGAAATGGGAACGGAAGTCAGATGAAAGAAGTAATAGATAGGAAATGCAGCATTGACCGAGTAGTGAGTATGTTATAGAACACTAATCTGATCAAACTACTCGTGCTATAATCAACATCAACAACACACACTTCATCCCAAATTTTTGGTGTCAAAAATCTTATTCTTCCATTCATTTCTATTCAAAGACTCTCTTTCATCAACAGTAGTGCCATAATCAATCACTGGAATATTTCTTCTATCTAGTGATAACCATATCAAAAGATATTCAACAAAGGGCTTGACATAGATTGCATTCGTGGTACAGCCCCACAAAACACACACACACACACACACACACACAAAAGCTACAAAAAAAATTTCCTGCATGCTTTCAAATTCGTTAAGGAGACAGCAATGGAGGCGTTGTACCTTGAAATTAGAGCTTACTAGAGCATACTACACTGAAATCCTATATACCCTTGATGACGAGTTTATGCAACAACGATGAAGTAACAACACTCCACTTAAAGTCTCAAACCCATATTACCCTCATCCCAAATTGATCACAGTTTGATATTATGTTCATAACTCCCCATGCATGGGCATCTGTAAGAAATTACCAAAGCAAAGCATTGCAAAGAAAGCTACATATAATGGCAAGAATTCAGAAAGATGTCTAAACATCCCATTGAAAGTCAAATGCATTACCCATACTAGCCAGCGCAGTGACAGTGCACCCTTGCCAATATCCACGCTATCCAAATCCTCCCACGAGTCTCCTTCCACATCATTTAATTCGGGCTTCAAGATGTTCAAAGATCCACGAGCAGTAAATTCGCTCCTGGGGCTTCCTCTGCAATAACCGCATTTAAGCTCTGTTCATATCCTGTTGTATAAATTTGATTCTAGTCAAGCAGCAATCATCATGCCACATAAAAATAATGTAAAAGGAAGAGAAACAAAATGATACAATTTAGCAGTCAAACACCAAGTTAAGGTTTCAAAGTTTCACAATAGCAGGTATTTTGTGTGAAAATAAGGTTTAGGTACAACTTTATTGGGAGTGATTCCTAAGAACAGACAAGTTATCCTTATTAAAAAGAGATTCTATAATATTGGTGTTAGAACTATGATTTCCCGATATAGGAGAAGGTTTGGCTAAAATGATTTATGTAACAAATGAATTCAGTACCGAAACAACAAAGCTTTTTGACAGGTATTACTCCTGTAATTTATGTGAGCTTTTGGTTAATATTGTATTAGCAGTAGTGAAATACACAACTAAGAGTTCAACAACATACCCTAATCTCAATATCTCCAGGGAACGGCAATTATTTATGAGAGCTGAAACACCATGAACCGTGATCTTGTCACACCGGCTGCATAAAAGAAAAGTACAAATTATGCATTCACCAGAGTGATCAATGTCAGAAGCATAATTTTTGCCAGTCACCCAAAGCACCTTAAATTTAATAAAGTACTTGGTAAATTAAAGCTGACAAAATGGTTATCAAATGTAGATTGAAGCAACTTTCACCACAGTAAAAAAAAGGGTCTGTAATAATG